TATGTATATATTTATTTATATAAAAATATATATAGATATATAAAAATATATATATATATATATATATATATAGCAAATAATATTTTCAAATCAAGTTGCTGCTTAGTACTGGGAACAAACACAAATAATGTACAAATTGATAATAATATAGTGCTCAAATATAAAGGAACATGATGTTATAAATCGTATCAAATATAGTATATAAACTGTATGTAATCTAGAATTAAATAGGCCTATATATATTGTATATAAATTGTATGTAATCTAGAATTATATATGCCTATATATACTGTATATAAATTGTATGTAATCTAGAATTATATAGGCCTATATATATTGTATATAAATTGTATGTAATCTAGAATTATATATAAACATTTTACCATGCATACTATTAAACCTGTACTGTCTGTCATGAGCTTAAAAAATCCATAATTATGTTGCTGCCATCTTTGATAAGATATCATCAAATCTCTTCCATCTTCTACAGTAAGTGGGCATTATATTCTATATCGCATTATATTTACATTAAAGAATATTCACCCACAAATCGCCACCTCGCCAAATGCCAAAAGTACTAAAAAGGAAGATATATAACTGTACCGGTAGTGTTTATTATTAATATTTTTATTACATTAATGTTACTAAATGAAAGTTACGAATGTGTGTCAATATCGTCATCATAAGAGTGATGTTTGGCCCTACCTGACGTGTTATCATACCGAATCCTCAGTACGTTCCTAAATACTCGGTACTCGGACACGTGATGTAGGGCAAAAAAAAATCCCTTCTATGATATTTTCCTGACGCAAACACATCGAAATAATATCGTCATCATTATTATCACAATCATCATCATTGTCATCATTATCACCATTGTCATCATTATCATCATATTATCACCATTACCAGTTGGGTTATAGTCGGTATTGGCATTGTGACCTGTTGTTAGTGGTTGTCAGTTGGTACCTTGATATGAGAGGTGATCGTATCACCTATAGATAATGTCACATATTCTCACTCTAGATAGTGTCACTAAATGAAAGTTTTTATGAAATAAATAAGTTTGCATTTTAACCAGTTGTTTTGTTTTGGTATTTGATGGGTTTTATTGGGTATAAGAAGCTTTGATACAGAAATAATATGATCTTATCTCATGGATTTCTGCCCGTGGGTTGAGTTCTTTGCCCGGGCATGGAGAGGGGAATATTACGGATTTAGGCCCTAGGCTCAAGAGGACCACATTCACAGGAAACCATGTATTAAAATATATGAAAATACAATCTTTCTAATTATTAAATTTATCAACTGTCATTTAATTGAATCAATTTTACATGATAAAGTTTCTCTCCCCCTTCCACACATGCACCCACGTTCCCACACTGATCAAGACGGACCCTACTCGTACAATTTACCCCCCAAATAATGTTACAAGCAGTACTGTATGTATACAGAAATTCATCCTGATACTAGGTATTTCCTACATACCGCCCTCTGGAGTATAAACAAGTTCGTTCCAGTCAAAGAGTATAAAACTGCTAGAGGTCCGACTGCCCTTGTATACAGGCAATGGAACGTTAAAAAGTACTCCCACAAAGGGGCGTGTCCTTCATAAGAACGTAAAAGGCGTTCGCATCGAACGCGTGCTGCGTTTCGAATTCCAGCATACGCGCAGTACGCGTTCGATATGAAAGCGTTTTACGGTAGTACTTTTTGAAATAGGATTGCGTTCCAAAGAATCCCCGGCAGTCGGACCTCTTGCAGTTTTATCAAAGATAATAAATAGCAGAAGATAGAGCAGCTTCCCAAGTGTAACATCCGTTCAAAAGGCATTGTGGGTACACGGAGAGCAATTTTACTGCAACCGCGCGGCGGCGCTATATAAAAATAATAAAGGCGCTGCTCTTGTTCGCTTGTTTCATTTAGTTTCTCCACTTAGTAAAATGTTCAAATTTTACTGCAACCGCAGGAGGGCGAGTGTTCCATCGATTTTAATGCAAATACGCGGAGCAGCTCATTCTTCTGCTATTTAAGTTCTTTGGTTTTATACTCTTTGTTCCAGTCAGCCTTCTCGAAGAGCCAAATAACAATCGTCATATCAATCTTTTAACACAAAGCTAATGCCCTAAGTGAGAATGAACCCCGAGACCCCAAATGTTGAAGTTCCAAAGTAGTCTCGAAT